AATATATTTTATTTTACTAATGTGTTTGATAACATGGAAACAATATTTTATTTATTTTTATTTAAAAAAATAGGTTGACATTTTGTTTTAAATTTTCATATAAAAAATTACAAACGGTTTGATATTTGACTATAAAAGAATATATATATTTAAAAAAATTAAAAATAAAATCAAAGAAATATATTATTAATATTATTATTTTTTAATTTTATTATTAAATAATAAAAACATAGTAATAATAATTAAAACAAAATATATATTTATTAAATTATTTTGTTTAATAAACTTTAATATTTTCATTAAAAAAAAAGAATTGATAAATGAAAAAAGTTTAAATAGGTTCATATTTGATTAAATAAACTTTAAAAAAATATAAATAATAGAGCAAAAGAAACACATTATTAATATTATTATTTTTTAAATAAATACATATTTCTATAATAAAATAATTATTTTTTAATTAAATACATATTTGTATCTTATTCTTATTAGTTTTATTTTATTTTTACAAAAACTCGTAAAAAATAAAAAATCAGGGAATAAAATGTTTTCATTTCTTATCGAAAGTGATTTATATTTATATACACATATATATTTATTTATATTTAACGAAACATATTTTTTTATTAATTATAAATAGTAATAAATATATATTTTTGCAATTTTTAGCAACAGAAATCAAACAAATTTATATTTTATACTATATTTATCGCAAGAGCCGATATATCACGTTCGATACTTATTTTTCTACATTAACATTGTGTCACGCGCAGATCTCTAAGGCAAAGCGAGCGAGTCGAAGCCACATTTCTCTCTCTCTCTCTCTCTCTCTCTCTCTCTCTGTCTCCCTCTCTCTGTCTCCCTCTCTTTTCATTCCTTATCTGACAGTTGAATGGCTATTGTTGTTGTTGTTGTTGTTGTAGCGCATTCCACGGTCGACTTCAAATATGCAAACATTCAATTTCGATTTAGCGACTGTGGAGGCGCATAATTTTTATTGTATTTATTGAATATTTCGAGCATCAAACGTTGCCGCCCATTGACTCAGCATGAAATTACAGTCGCTGGAGGCGGTATTGGGGGCGTGCCAGAGACAGGCTACAGCTTCAGCTTCAGCTCCAGCTCCTGGAAGGGGGCGACAGCAGCGAATGCTTGTCGAGGCACAGCTGCCGCCCTTGCCTCCCGCTATTTGGCAAGTTTTACCCAGATCTCAAGCCCCAAGCCCCAAGCGGCAAGTGGCAAGCCCTTGGCCTTCCCCTGGCCGTCTGCTGGCCCACTGCTGCCCCCTATTCAGCCATCAATTTGTGTAAATTTGAACTGTCACTTTGAAGGCGTTAATTGGATTCAATAAATGTCAAGCAGGGGGCGCGGCGTCAACAGTTGGAGCCAGTGCAGCATCAGCATCAGCATCAGCATCAACAGCTGGCCATGGCTGGCGTTGTCTCTGCTGCCGAATTCATTTTAAGCCAACACCCATCCACAAATCTCATCCCCATACGCCCATTTCACCGCCCCAACACGCCCACACCTCCAGCCCCTTTCAAGTTATATTTAGGACACGACACAACAACATTTTGGGGCCATGGATTTTTGTGGCTTAGATTGGAGACGGGGACGGCATGTAGTGTGCCTTAGCCGCCTTGGCATGATTTTAGCCGGATTGTGGGCGTGCCAACAGCCACAGTAGCAAACACTTTGTCAGCATTGGGCACTGAGCGAAATTGGGAGAGATTGAGAATTTGACAATTTGAGAGAGCAGCAAGTGTGGACCATTTGAAATATTCTAGATGGTTGCTATGTAAGAGTTTTCTTTTTGGGTGTAATATATACGGGTATACCCGGCATATATAGGCATATAGCCGATCTCTCTCTCTCTCTCGCCCATCTCTCTCTCTTATAACAGTATTTTGCTGTATCTATCCCTCTATTTCTCATTGTTTCTTTCGTTCTTTCTGTATCTCGCCCTCTTTATCGCTCTCTCAGTATCTGTGTAGATCTGTGTCCCTCTCTCACTGCGCATCTCTTTCTACGCCAGTCTTTCTTACTTTTACACAATATTACTTTCGTTCTTTGTCTCTAGCTATCTATCTATCTCGCTCGCTCAGTCTAACTGTGCATTTTCTTCGTCTCTTTCTGTCTATAAATTTTCTTGCATGAACCTTTCTCTCGCGGTTTCCAGCTGTGCATCTTGTCTATCTCTCTCTCTTTCTCTCTCACTGAACATCTTCTCGGTCTCTCTCTCTCTCTGTCTTTCGCCTTAGTATTCTGTAACAATCTTCCTCTCGGACCCTCTCTCTCTCTCTCTCTCTCTCTTTCTCAGTCTCTGCATATCTTCTCAGTGTCTATATATCTTCTTCTCAGTCTCTACATATTTTCTCAGTCTGTCTTTCTTTGTCAGTACGCCTTATCTCTCTCTTTCTTTCTCTCTCAGTAGCTCCCTCTTTTTCTCCCTCTCGCTTCGTGCATTTTCTTCTCTGTATCTATCTCTCTTTATTCTTTCTCAACAGTCTATTATCTGTATCTCTCTCTGTATCCTCTCTTTCACTCTCTCCCCAACACTCCCGCACTCTTTATCACTCATTTTCTTTGCTACTCCGTCACTCTCTACCTTTTCCTGTTCCTCATAAATATATACATATATGTTGCTTATGGAGAATCAACCTCTACTTTCGCTCAGTGTAGTCGAAGAGTCATATCGCAGTATTTCAATGACTAAAAATACATATCACACACACACATACACACGTATATGGGGAGTACTTAGAAGATATATTGTTGTCTGTGGCTTATCGGCTAAGGACCTTAATAAAAATGTTTCCCTAAGAGGATCGCAGCAAATTTGTTGGCTTTGTTCAGGCTGTGGAGATAAACAAAAGACAAATTGAAAGTGGAATCGTGATGGCATCGACAACGGCGCTGGACGTGTCCGGCAGCCAGCCGAGGCGCTGCTGCACCGCTGAGCCGCCAATGAGCCACCGGGCCGCTACTTTATCATTGAGATAAAAAAAAAAATAAACAAACAAACAAAAAAAGAGTTGAAAGCAGGTTAAAATCTGCACGCAACCGGATGAAAATTAAATTAAAAAGCAAAAAAAAAAGAGCCAACAAAAAATGAAACGGAAATATAAAAATGAAAATGGACCAGAAACGGCAAAACGGCGGTGGGAGGGGGCCAGGCCGCTGCCTCTGAGGGCTGGCGAAGGGCAAATGCAAATGCAAATGGCCGTAAAAGCCCTTTTGGCCCACATAACTCGGCCACGCCCACCAAGAGCCGTGGCGCCCGGCCTGTCAGCGTAAATAAGTGTTGCCCACAGTTCGGGCAAAGAGATGGCCTACAAATGATGAGCAGCGCATTAAAAAGCGAGGCGATCAATTCTATTGCCTACTTTCCAGCGCGCCCGACAGCTGTCCCGAGTGTGCGTGCGTGTGCGTGTCTGTATGTATGTGCGCGTGTGTGCTTGTGTGCGCGTGTGTCATGCATAAATAATTCAGAGATTATGTTTACGCTGGTAGATAACGGAAACCGCTGGCTTTTAGCATTTGACCGCAGCAATTAGGCACAAAAAAAGTTGAAAAATACTAAAAAAAAAAAAGATGAAAAGCAAAAAACATAAATAAAAGTAGATAAAACATGCAAAGCCAACATTCAGTCGACTGCACAGCTCATTACAAATTATTGAATAGGCCATTATAATATGCACAAAGGCAACATTAGCTAATGTCGGATGTGAGCCGAGGCCCATCAAACTGAAAAAAAAACAAAAGAAATATTAAGCTTTATTCGGTATAATTTGAGCTCAGCTGATGATTCGAGCTGAGAGCTCTGGCTAAATTTAATAAATCACCTTTGTAGTGAAGTGAATTATGTGAATTCATAATATGCGATAGTTTGGCAGACAGTTTACATATTTTATTGATATGTGATAGCGATAGCTGTATAATTGATCTATCGAGTGGTTTCAGTGGAAGACCTTGTCTACATACAGCTGTAAAGGTTCATGTAAATGTTATGTTAATGCAAATGTTATGCTAACGTTAATGCTATTGGGTGTATATACATACATTGCGTAGTAATTGACCTATTTAGCACATGAAAGATAAGCTAAAGATCTTATGGATCGATCATCTATCATCTATATTCACACAGCTGTAAAGCTTCATGTAAATGTTATGTTAATGTAAAATGCTATGTTAACGTTAATGTTATTGTCATAAATATGTATGTTATTGGGTGTATACACATATATTGCGTAGTAATTGACCTATTTAGCACGTTAGTGGGCACATTAGCCACATGAAAGATAAGCTAAAGATCTTATGGAACGATCATCTATCAAACTTCAGTTAGTCGATTAGGTATTGCCTATTTTTCATCTGCCTAGCTTTATAAAATCCCAAAAGAAGATGTCATATACAGCGGCATCGTGAATGGGGGTGAATAGGGTGTAAGCGATAGTTACTCCCATTATATTGTTATCGATTACAAAACCTATCGAAAATTGGCTACAAAATTAGAGTTCCTATACCATTAGATCTAAACCGGTAAACTCATTAAATGTCTCATGGATGCATATGAATTTTATATAATTTCGATTTTTTTTTATACTTGTTTTGGGTTGATTTTATTTGAATATTGATTAACCCAATTCACGCCTTTTACGAATACTACTGTATAAATCTTATAGCCCTATAAATACACCCTAAAGGTACTCGAACAGCTTATCCATTTGATTGTAGAGCTCCAGCTAAATTCGTATAGCAGAGCTGAGTACAGAAAGTACATTCCTAATAGTTCCCAGTTAGAAAAAGTTAACAGTACTAGAATAAAGAGTTTATCGATCAGTCATTTTATAATATTCTGCTACATGTATAATCTTATTATCGATCCACCACAACTGTAACCAACTATTTTATGCATTTCCTATAGTTTTTTTTTTGTTTGAACTTACAATTTATAGTCAGCCGTACTCATCCGAGTTTCTTCTTCTCTCTACTTGCAGTTTCACCCGAATCGATTGTCATCCCCATCGTTTCGTGCATCTTTGGCTTCCCGATATTGGCGCTGATCGTCATCTGCTGCCTGCGACGTCGAGCCAAGCTGGCCCGGGAGCGGGACAGACGGCGCAACTATGATATGCAGGACCATGCTGTCAGCCTGGTCAGATTTAGTCCAATTCATAGGCTTAGTGAGTTTGAATGTTGTAATGTGTGTACGAAATTTTCATTGTTTCTCTTATTCTTCTCTTGTTTGTTTTTTTATTCTTCTTCTTCTCTTGTTTGTTTTTTTATTCTTCTTTGACAATATTTATTCACAGCTCGTAAAAACTATCGAAATATCGATTATTTTATATCATTATATGACAAATGCATTTTCATAGAATTCGTATTCACGTTTCATATAGCGACCTCTCTCTCTCTCTCTCTCTATCTATCTCTCTCACACACTCTTCTTTGCTTTTTTATGTGGATCTCAATGTACCTGTCTGACATATCGTAGTGTTTATCGTTTATCTTCAACATTTTGCACTTTAACAGAAAACAAAATTAACCGCTTTTCAGCGCAGCCAACTTCAAGCCAAATCGACCTGCCCAATTTACAATTTTGCCCACATTGTTTTTCTTACATAAATTGCATTTAAAATTGCCAGGCAAACATGCGAGAACACGCACACACATGCACACATCTGTCTGCTACCTGGCCGCACGACAAATTGCGTTCCCACCTTTTCCAGGCATTCCATTTAAAATCTTTAATATATTTTCAGAAAATTTATATGCTGATATACGAAATTTAAGAAAATATAAAAGTCGTTTTTAAAAATTATGCAAAAGTTCTGAAAAGAAAATATCACAAAAAAAGTCTTTAAAAATTCGTTCGTTTAATTTAAGCTGAAACACTTTTATTGTTGTTCAGCTCCACACGTTCGCAATGAAAGGCAAGAAGGAAAATTTATACTCATTCATGAAAACGAAATGAGTATATTGGTCTTGTTCCGTCCGTTCGGCTGTCCATAAAGTACATTCCAAATATGATATGTCCACGGCTACTGTGGGCGTGGCAATTTAGGTCTGACTACATAACCGTATATATCTTAGGCACTATCGATGCTAAGGACTGAGAAAGCTCCTTATAAATAAGATATGGCAAATATATCTATGACAACGGGGGGCGGTGTAGATCGTATGGATCTGGCAACCTTTAAACTGTAAATGAGTCTTCTGCCATCTTTGGGAACTTCTCTATATGGGAGTGGAACGAGTGAAGAACAATATAACTGTGAAATTATTAAACAGAGCCTAACAGATATTTGAAAAACTCACAGAATACCTATGAAGCACGCTGATTGGATATTACTTTGAGAATATGCAAATTTTGATGAAAAGACATAGATTGAATAGGAAAAGGGAAGAGTTGTAATCAGAGATAGGAGTAAATATATAGCAAAAAACATTTTTCACACTGACTTAAAAGAGGAAAACTAAGAGCTTCATTAAGAAATTCCTTAAGATTTCTTTCAAATGTGAAATGAGAAAGTGACATACGATTGGTAGAGTCCATAAAAGCGCAGCACTACCCCAGCTGCAGCGAAATGTCGATAAAAATATTTATTTTGTATTTAATTTTTTATAAAGGGGACTTGCCATGCAGCCAAACAATCACGGCACAGCATCTGTCACAAGTGCCGAGTCCATTAAAGAGTTACGAACTGAAAGTAAAGAAAGAGCCCAAAACTAACGACAAATACATACATACTGTTGCTAGTCAGGCTGTTGCCAGGGCTAGGGGTAGAGGGGAGTAGGGGCAGATGTAACGAAACTTGACCCACTTGCATGCGAGAGCAGGCAACAGTAACATAACAGTCCATTATACCCAGCATATTGCATGAACAAATAGGATATATAAACATGGCCGAAAGGAAACGAAACGAAACGAGACGAGACGAGACGAGACGCAGCGGGACGGGTGGCATATGAACACGACTCCCGAGTCAAAGTTCAAGCTGAGTGCCTGCTGCGATTCTGCCGGCACTCAATGGAAGCGAGTGACACACACACACACACACACACACACACACACACACACA